CTGTAGATGTATGGACAATACAATACAATGCATTTTTCTATAATTACTTATCTCTTTCAATGGAGTGGGTGAGAATCAAACTAAAATTGCTGTGGAACAGCTACAGCAAGACCAAAAAAACCCCAGTCAAGTAGAAGTGCCAGAAAATCCTTAAGCAAACATTCAAAATGGCCTTTGGAACAACTCTAATTTCTTGCTCCCTACATCGCTGCTCGGCCAACAATTACAAACTTGGATGCGGTAGGTGTTTTGTCAAAAATGTATTTCTCTGTCACAAAGTTGCTGCATATTTGTACATTAAAAATAGATATGTAGAAAATGGCAATATCATATTTCCATTGTCAAGTCAGTATAGACTTGTTGTAGGAGAGAAGGCAACTGATCGATCGATCATCAATCAATCAATCAATTTAATGTATATTTGACAATCCTACAATGCATGCAAGTCGAGGGCGACGGTGGCACAGGAGTTAAGTGCTCACCCCGTAATTGGAAGGTTGTAGGTTCGAGCCCTGCTCAGTCTGTCGCTGTCATTGTGTCCTTGGGCAAGACACTGTGTTTCTTTCTTTTTTTTCTCCCCCCGTCCTGTCTGGCTGTGAAGCAAACAGAATTGATGTCTGAATGCTGGTGACAAGCCTTACAGATTTACTCTCAGGTGGAGCATCAAAGCTTCTGCTTCAATGTCACGCCTGATACTTAAAACTTTATTGTTGTTGTTTTTAAATGCTTTGTAATTCCGACCAGACACGGAGACAGAGGGGAAAGAGGAAGGAGGAGACAGTGTGTGTGTGTGTGTGTGTGGGGGGGGGGGGGGGGTCCACAAAAATTAACAATCAATGATGAACAAGAGTCTGCTTCTAGACCTGCAGAAAAGGGGCACAACAACAATACAACAAGATCAAACTGTCACTGCATTAACTTGATGAAGAATTATAAAATCAACATTGTTTTACTGAACAATCACATGATAATAAATCACAGTGCATTTAGTGCCAACCACAGCCTTAAGACCTGTGTTGAACGTGCCCAAGTCCATACTTATGAGAGCACCATGTGAGCACCTGTGTGTGTACACGCGCTTGCTTATGCAAGGTTTCTCTATAGGATCCCCGTTTCTGTCAGCTTTGAACGCAGCAGCTTCTGCAGCAGGTGATGGAGACGCGCTTGTAAAGAACACAGGATAATCTGGGTTTTACAGACCTGACTGGAGGCTGATGTTGGGTAGGAAAACTTCCTCGGTTAAATATTCTGGACGACAGTAAAGTCCGTGTTAAAAGCACGTAAACGCACATGACCTGAGATGCGGTTCGTTAATGATGAACACAGGCTTCTAGGGGAGGGCTGAAGCAGGGGGAGGGGGGAGAGGGCTGAAGCAGAAACTACCGTTGTTAAAAGAAATGTGTTTAACTTTGAAAATGTGGGCACAATTTTAATTGTCAAAAACTCCAGCGAACCATTAGTTCATTTTGCTCAAATAGAAATGGAGGCCTGCCTCTAATTCTGGCCCTCCTTCCAATAAAGGCCTGGAGCTTGATGAGCTTGAGTCAAATACAGGCCCGGGCCTGTATTAGAGGATTTACGGTATTTTTGATTTGCGTTCTTGTGTTTGTTGTTGTGCCATTTAATGATAAGTGTAAAGTACATTAGATTACCCTTTTTTCTAATGTGCTCTAAAGCTGCCTTGTCTTGCCAATTTCATTTTTACATTACCGACCCTAATGTGTAGCATACCAAAAGACCAAGTATTTCATCAAAATGACCAGAAGTATACCGTTAGCTTACAGGCCAAACTTCATACAGGTCTATCTGACACCGGGGTCCACATGAAGAAATGAACTTGCCCCAGTATTCTTAACTTATCCTGTGGTATGTCAGAAGTCACTGAGGCTGAAAAGACACAGGGCTTCTTATCTTTCCTCTCAGAATAAACTTTATCTTCCCTGTTTCATAAATGACATTATGAGTCGGTACACGTTTATATAATCATATTTTGTTGAACGGACAATATGTTCAAATCTAAAATGTTTTAATAATGTGTCCAATACCCTAAATGAATGAGTGATGGGTTAACATGAATGCTATTCCTGTAATGATTCATTTCACATCTTAAATGACACCAGATTAGTAATTGTTGAATTTAATGTTCATCTATGAGTAAATTCACACGTCATAATATTATTATTAATGTTTAACATTTACTTCACATTAATGGTTAATAAAAATTTACTTCCCATTAAGAAACAACCTCTCTAAGTGTCTGAGTGAAGGGGGGATGCTGAGGTATTTTGGTTGCTCATTTAAACTCGTCAAATTCTGGTTTGTCTAAATTTGTAAGCAGGAGTTAATAAAGGCTAGGTCACGCCCTGGAGTGGCGGTTCTCAGTCGCTTACTCGATTAGGCCGACCAGGTGAGTAAAGCACTTGGAACCATCCTCTCTCTTGACTCCAAGGCCAAAGCCTTTGCAAACTTCATCAGATGCTAAATAGACACGCCAGCTTCCTGCCGCCACCTGAAAGGTATCTCAGAGCAGACGGGTTGTAGTCAGAGTAGAACTACGGACTCCGATACCCAGAGGTCCACGCCACCGGCAGGTTGTCTATACCAACCTCTTGACCCCCTGGATTGCACGAGGACCTTCAACACAAAGGGTTTGTAGATCTGCACAGTGGCGTGGGATGGTTTCATGAATGTCTCTAGCTTGTTAAGTAAACCACACGGTCAAACTGATTTTATAACCCAGGCATCAGAAGATCTCAGATACTTAACGAGGTTTTGCTAAAACATCTAGCTTACATCCCATCATTTCATCCATCGTCTGTTATCCTGTCCAACCATCGTCCATCGTGATGTGTTCTGTCATCACTAGTTCAGAAAGATAGAAATAAACTCATTTGTATTGTTATATTCTGACTCTGTCTGAGTTAATATGATGTGTGTGTTCCCTGACTAGTCCAAAGAACCTAAAGGTGAAATTACACCTGCAAAGACCAACCAGATGGATAATTCATGTTATTAGGGAATGTCACATCTTATTGATCATTTAATAAGTGTAACTGCTTCAATCACGTTACACTTCTGAATATGAAAGGGTTACAAAAGATGCTTCAGTCTGGACATGTGTGGTTTCCCTTCGGTTTCCTGCACACAACCCAGCTTTCCTATATTGTCCTCTCAACAGTTGAAGTGCTCTGCTGGTTCAGAAGCTCCTGTGCGTGCGGGTAGACCCCTGTGTGGATTGGGTGAGGTCTCCAACACTAACCAGTGAGTTTTATGCAGAACTGTGTCGCCTACATAGAAGAGTAGGGACTGAACAAACACATTATGCCTTCTCTGAGTGGCACTAGATTTCAGCAGAGTGCCAAATGAAAATGATGGGGCCACTTATCAGCTGGTATGTGTGGTTTTCTCTGGTTCCTAAGTGTGAAAGAACAACTTTTCAGGCTCACTAATGCACAGTAAATGTAACAGGTAGGATGAATAGTTGAGTTATACAAGGCTTTCAGCACTCAGGCCTCAGTCAGGTTGCATAACAGACTTGTCCTCCTCACCTGTTTTACGTGGGACACTCACTGTCCCAGGTCCACTTCCCTCTGTGACCTTTCACCTCAGCTGCAGTGGTACAGCAGATTATTCACCTCTTCAGTGACGGCCATTTAAAATTTGTGGTGCAGATGAACGTTTAAGTCCGGCTCACTGGGAACTCCGCTTTGGAAATCCCTTTCAAGAAAAACGCAGAAGAGACTAAACTGTGTGTGTGATCAGATGAGTGAGTGAGTGAGTGAGTGAGTGAGCGAGTGAGTGAGTGAGTGAGTGAGTGAGTGAGTGAGTGAGTGAGCGAGTGAGTGAGTGAGTGAGTGGTTGTTTGTCTCCAAGTCCATGCGGTGGACTGGAAACCTGTCCAGGGTGTATCTCTCACTCAATGATCACTGGAGATCTCTTTAAGATAAACCTTTTCCATCATCATCATCATCATCATCATCATGATCATCATCATCATCCTCATCATCATCATCATCATCATCGTCATCATCATCATCATCATCATCATCATCACTCCAGCAGTAAAATTACAGTTACTTGTTTCCTATCATGCTATTTTAAACCTTTGAGAGCAGATGATAATAACATATGAAATATATGATTTATCTTAAATATGAGTTATTTTCGTCAGCCTGAATTTATGCCAGTTTGTTTCAGCAAAGCTCCGCCCACTCTTGCTCCTACAAACCGCGCCTACAACAGTGCCTTAGGCAAGACTGCGGCTGTATTGTCCTCGATAGTCCAGAGGTTTAAGCGCCCGTTTAGCCACGCCCACACGCAGTTTCACCAGTTTTTATTTAACCAGCAGAAGCAGATTTCCTTTATTTATAATTTAGTTCATAGATTATTTTTGTAAAATATTTGTGCTTCTGAAGATCTTTGAATTTGGTCAGATCCTTAGGAAGCAGTCAGCTGGTAGAACCGGGCCAGAATCAGACAGGTGCTGCTGCCAGATGTGCCTCAGCTCTGGAGACGTTGACGTCAGAATAGAAAAGCTTCATGTTTTCATCAGCCTTTGAACGAATGACATTCTGCTGCACCTTCTGCCCTGTAACTGCTCGCCCTTTAACTTTGTCTTTTTCATTTTTAAAGAGTATTTTCTGTCCCGTTGACTTGAATGTTCTTGTTTTCTTGCTAATGGAAAGCACGCTGAGTGCCTCTGTGTATGCAGTGTGCTGTAGAAGCAAAGCTGCCTTGCCTCACACACCAGACTGGCGCGCTACCTCATGGACTCACTTCTTACGGCGGTGTTCTGTCCTGAACTCAGAAGTAATTTGTTTGAATATCCGCAGAACAGCAGGTCTCGGAGACCAGAGCAGGTTCAGGGGGCGGAGACATCCCCGGTGACACGAGTGGGCTGCTTGCAACACTCTTTACGTTGAAGCTGAGGCAGGAACACGCATAATGTTCAGACCAACAAATGACCACCTCACTTTTTATACAAGAGCCAACGTAGCGTATGGATTTGAAAACATGTCTTTTATTTTTTATCACTCGTCACATTAAATCAGAACAAACATCATAACTTATCAGCACTGGTGATTAATTATTTCTGTTTTTTAAACAAAATCCGAATAAGGAAAACCGAGATCCTAATGTGACACACTGGAATTAAATACATAAAACAGTAAACAACAATAAACTCATCAAAAATACACAGCACAGTGTTTTTGAATGAAACACACAACAACACAAAAACAGTTCATGGAAGGTCAAAGACAGATGTGTACGTGTGGCGTTTGTGTTACTGAGAGATTTTACAAACGTTGACAGTGCTCACACACGACTCGTTTCCTGACTCGTAGCAGTGTTTGACTCATCCACAGGTCCACCTCTAGTCTCCAGTCGGCTGATTTCTGCTCACAACAACACACAGTCGCTCATTCTTACACAGTCCGTCTTCCTTTAGACCTTTTTTCCTCCTCTTCAAATAAATTAACAAACTTTTCTAGATTTGAAAGTCGACTTTTTTAGCACCGTTAATCACAACCTAAACGCTAAAGTGAACAAAATACTGCACATGTCCAACCAAATGAAACACCTGCTACACAGTAAACAGAAAGGTCTTTGGTCGCGTACGTAATGGTCAGAAGAACAAAGACATAACTTCCGGGTGGACCTCACAACACCTCCGTCTTTTGAGAGTCTCAGGCCCTGTCCACACGTAGCCGGGGATCTGCCAAAACGTAGATATTGTTCTACGTTTTGGCCTGTCATCCACACGAAAACGGATCTTTTTAAAAACTCCGGCCAAAGTGAAGATCTGCGTTTTCTCCGTTTTGGGTGTCTGCGTGTGGACGGACAAAACCGGAGTTTTAAGGTCCGCAACGTCACTTTCCGCGACAAAAAATGCTGACATCACGTGTGCGACCTGTGTGTACACTAGCCGACAGCATGGATGCCCTCAGAGCTGCGCTCGCTTTATCAATTGTCCAAGCGCTTTCTGCTTGTTTGTGTTTGCAAGAGGAATTACTGATCCTTGCGGAAGACCACAGACGAAGGACGAGGTTAAGAACGGGGGAAGTACTGCCGCCTACAGGTCTGGCATGTCCTTAACAACGTATTTATCCGGGTACGTGTGGACAGAGTTTTCTTTTAAAACGTGGTGGTGTGGATGCAAGTTTTTGGAGGGGCGGATATTCGTTTTTAAAAACCCCGGCTACGTGTGGACTAGGCCTTAATGAACTCCAGTGTGTGAAATGACTCGTGTAGAAGTCACTTCACACACTGCTTTTCTCTAATCCTTTGCAAATAAAATCATTTGCATAATAACGTTTTCTAATTTACCTCACGGGGACTCAAAGGTTTAAGGTGGAAGAATGACTCAGACGGTTACAAAACGAGAACCCAGAACCACACGACTGCCAGTGCTTCACAAGATTTGATTGCCTTCTCAGCTATTTTACATGATTGTAACGCATACGTGAACACTCGGAGACGGGTGCCCATCTAATTCATCACATGGCAGCAGATCTTCCCTGCACAACATACATCCATGTAGGTTTTTTTTTTTTTTTGCTCATTTATTTTGCAACATTTCAAAATTGGGGCATAATTTTACTCAACCCTCTGGAGGCAGGTGTTGCAGATGTGCAACGTTAAACCCCACCGACCTGGTTACTCCACGTGCGTACTTCATGAGCACGTTGTAACTCAGAAGTTCCCCTGAAGGACTTAGTTGTTCGTCCTTTTATCAACACTTATGAGAGGGTTAAAAGCTGTGATTGGTTTAGCCTCCAGCACACTGCCTTTACTCCTGGTCCACTGCGGTACCTGAGTTAGCAGACATGTTGCGGTGAAGATTTGGGTTCTGACTGTGCCGGTTCCTGCTTCGTACAGAGGAAAAGGAAGTGTCACAGCCAGGGACTTTACACTTGTGAAGCAGTCGTAGATGGACAGTCTTGTAATGAGCTCTGAATGTTCCTTTGTTGCTGTACACCTTTTGGCAAACATGACATGTAATTGAAGACCCAACTCCAAGTCCGTGAAGCCCACGGTGTCCACTTTCACTACTGCCCAGGTTTCCGTCTCGAAATGGCCTCCCCACACCAGTTTCATCACAGCTTTCATCACTGTCCTCTATAGGGAGAACCTCCTCAACCTCTTTACTGGTCTCCCCTTCCTCACTGCCGGCTCCATCAGAGTTCCACGAGAATTCGGCACAGCTGCTTCCACAAGATGGGGTCGATGTGGCAGTACTTAGGTCCAGAACTCTCCCATTATTGCCATTTACACTACGTTCTCCTCCCCCCAAGCCGTTTGCCTCTGCTAGCGGAGACACCTCATCACCACTTGCAGGAGCAGGCACTTTGCTCATGGGAAAGACCAGTCCCATGCGGTTGTGTCCTCTGAAGATGACTGAGGTCTGACTAGTCTGGTCTCGATGAGGGAGATCTGTGTTCTGCTGGTCATGGCAGTTGTCCTGACTTACAGAGTCCATGTCTGTACAGTGAGAAGAAGGTGAGCAGAGAGTGGTGATTGGGATGAGGGAGTCTTTCATCAGCAGCTCGCGGTGCAGGTTTGGATTTGCACTGTGTCTGTAAATAGAAAAACATGAAGTCACATGTTGTTTCCAAAGAAATAGAAAATACTACATGCTGCTGTGTATCATATATGGTTTGTGCAGCAGCATGAATACTCTTTTGGAGCTGATTTGCATGAGATGTTTTTCTGTTTACATGTTTCAGGATGCACATTTTTTAGTATGCACATGAGTCAGGATGCACATGTTTCAGTATGCACATGTGTCAGGATGCACATGTTTCAGTATGCTCATGTGTCAGTATGCACATGTGTCAGGATGCACATGTGTCAGGATGCACATGTTTCAGTATGCTCATGTGTCAGGATGCACATGTGTCAGGATGCACATGTTTCAGTATGCTCATGTGTCAGGATGCACATGTTTCAGTATGCTCATGTGTCAGGATGCACATTTCAGTATGCTCATGTGTCAGGATGCACATGTTTCAGTATGCTCATGTGTCAGGATGCACATGTTTCAGTATGCTCATGTGTCAGGATGCACATTTCAGTATGCTCATGTGTCAGGATGCACATGTTTCAGTATGCTCATGTGTCAGGATGCACATTTCAGTATGCTCATGTGTCAGGATGCACATGTTTCAGTATGCTCATGTGTCAGGATGCACATGTTTCAGTATGCTCATGTGTCAGGATGCACATTTCAGTATGCTCATGTGTCAGGATGCACATGTTTCAGTATGCTCATGTGTCAGGATGCACATTTCAGTATGCTCATGTGTCAGGATGCACATGTGTCAGGATGCACATGTGTCAGGATGCACATGTGTCAGGATGCACATGTTTCAGTATGCTCATGTGTCAGGATGCACATGTGTCAGGATGCACATTTCAGTATGCACATGTGTCAGTATGCACATGTGTCAGGATGCACATTTCAGTATGCTCATGTGTCAGGATGCACATGTGTCAGGATGCACATGTGTCAGTATGCACATGTGTCAGGATGCACATTTCAGTATGCTCATGTGTCAGGATGCACATGTTTCAGTATGCTCATGTGTCAGGATGCACATTTCAGTATGCTCATGTGTCAGGATGCACATGTTTCAGTATGCTCATGTGTCAGGATGCACATGTTTCAGTATGCTCATGTGTCAGTATGCACATGTGTCAGGATGCACATTTCAGTATGCTCATGTGTCAGGATGCACATGTCTCAGAATTCACATGTGTCAGTATTCATGTTTCAGTATGCACAAGTTTCAGTAATCATATGTTTCAGTATTCACATGTTACAGTATGCATATTTTTCAGTAGCACATGTCTAAGTATGCCCATGTTTCAGTATACAAATGTGTCAGTATGCACATGTTTCAGTTTGCAGATTGTTCAGTAGCCACACAGTTCAGTATGTACTTTTAAGTATGCACGTATCAGTATGCACATTTTTAATAAGCTACATGAATCAGTAGCGACATAGTTCAGTGTGTACATCGTTCAGTATGCACGTTTTAGTATGCACATGTTTCAGTAAGCTAATGCCTCAGCATGCACATGTTTCACTATGCAAATTTTTCAATAGCCACATGTTAAAATGTGCATCATTTATTCTAACTTATTTAAAAGCTGATCATGATTTAGACCTTTTTTCAGCAGTTTTCAGTATTCTAGAAGAAAAACAGACCTGCTGCTCACAGCTGGAAAGAATAGGACAGATGTATTATATTTCATACCAGGTAAGACATGTCTATCCTATGTACTCTGCTTCAGGCCTAGTCCACACGTAGCCGGGTTTTTTGAAAACGAATATCCGCCCCTCCAAAAACTTGCATCCACACCACCGCGTTTTAAAAACAAACTCTGTCCACACGTACCCGGATAAATACGTTGTTAAGGACATGCCAGACCTGTAGGCGGCAGTACTTCCCCCGTTCTTAACCTCGTCCTTCGTCTGTGGTCTTCCACAAGGAACAGTAATTCCTCTTGCAAACACAAACAAGCAGAAAGCGCTTGGACCATTGATAAAGCGAGCGCAGCTCTGAAGGCGTCCATGCTGCCGGCTAGTGTAAACACAGGTCGCACACGTGATGTCAGCATTTTTTGTCGCGGAAAGTGACGTTGCAGACCTTAAAACTCGGGTTTTGTCCGTCCACACGCAGACACCCAAAATGGAGAAAACGCAGATCTTCACTTTGGCCGGAGTTTGTAAAAAGATCCGTTTTCCTGTGAATGACAGGCCAACACGTAAAATATCTACGTTTTGGCAGATCCCCGGCTACGTGTGGACAGGGCCTAAATCAGATAACCTCAATGCTTGAGAGACAACAGATAGAAAGTACGTCCAAGTGTGATACATGCTACAAGATTTATTTTAAGTTCACATTTTATGTCTTTCAGGTATTTTAATAAAATAAACTGAAAAATATTGTTTTTACAAAACAGGACAGAATTTTTATAGCTCTCATTTAATTACTAATCTCCACAACACCAGTACTCAGCGGTGCTCCGTTTCCCGCAGTCCAGATCTCCAGCAGTGCTGTGCCTTTCCCCCTGCATCACCTGCCAGCCTCACCTGCGGTATATCTCTTGAGGGTCACGGCAGAATTTCCATCTTAATGGCTCCAAAGGAATCCCCTCCTTTTGGTCCAAGCCTTGCCGGCAGTTACCCAGGTCTACCAGCCGATCTGTAGACTCCGGTGTGTTAGCCCGACTGACTAATTTGGCTAATACTGTCGCCAATGATAACCACACTGCTAACTTGGGTCTTCTTAACACCTGCTCCCTCTCTGGTAAAGGGCATCTCCTTCAAGACGTCATCAAAGACTGTAACTTGGACATTCTCTGTTTGAGTGAGATTTGGCAAAACCCCGGCAACTTCTGCCAGCTGACTGTACTCCTCCCGATTTAGTTTACCTCTGCAAACCTCGTGGGTCAGGCCGAGGCAGAGTTCTCGCGATACTCCATCACGAGACCCGGAAGGTCCTCCCGGTCTCTCTGCCTCCTTTTACCACTTTAGAGCGCCTTGCCTGTCAAATACCCGACCCCTAGTCATCGCCTCAATTTGCTGCCCCCCCCCCCCCCCAAGTTCAACCCTGACTTTTGTAATGATTTTGTGTTCTTTTCTATCATCTTTCCACTCTCTCTCCCAATGTAACTGTACTTGGTGATTTTATTACTGTACATATGGATAACACAGCTCTCCCCCAACCAAGGATTTCTCCTCATCGTTGGACGGATTTGGTTTTTATCAGTATGTTTATTTTCCCACTCACATTAAAGGTCATACTGGATTTAGCCTGCTGTTACGGTGTCCCCTTCCAACTGCTCTGCCGATCAGCTCTCCTTCACTGGCCACTTCCTCATCTTATTTTCTGTTTCCCTCAAACTCTCCACTACCAAGTTACCCCGTGTTATCTCATTTCATAATATTAAGAACATCGATCTAGCCCCACTCTCCTCCAGCATAGCAGGCTTGACCCCAGATCCCTCTGCTATTCCCGATGATCTTGTCAGTCACTGTAATCATGGCTTGGTTTCCATCTTAGATTCATTTGCTCCCATCAAAACTCGTTCTGCTTTCTTTAACCGGTCTGCTCCAAGGGTCACCCCTGCCCTACGCTCCATGAAAGCCACAAATCGCAGGCTAGAAAGACTTTACAGGAAAACCGGTCTCACTATTCATAAGGATTTATACACTGCTCAGATTTCTCTCTATAAGGACTCAAATTCTCATGCCAAATCACAGTAGTACTCTGGTCTTATCCGCTCCAACATTTACAATACTAAGATAATAATTTCCATCTATAACATCTTTCATCCCCCTGACTCCCGACCTTCACGCCTTTACTCATCTGAAACCTGTAAAGCCGGGCGTACACTGTGCGACTTTTTCACTTTTTTGAGCCGGTTTTCCACTCGTGCGAGAATCCACGACATCGGGGCGAGTTTTGCGCCGAGCGGTCGTGTAGTGTACAGGGGGTTACGAGGGGCAATTAACACCACGTGACCAGCCGCCGATCAGCAGTCGTGAGGTCGCACGGACTTCTGGTGTGTTTGATATTTCGCTCGTCCCTCGTGAGGGTATCGCACTGTTGAAGCGGCGCTGCGAGCAGCTGTGACCCAAAAAGTACCAGAACCGCTCACAGCACATGCACAATCCTGCATCAACACCGCTCGCCCGCTATTTCCCTAATAACACACGTTGGTCGTTTTTGTTTCTACACGTTTTTTTACTCACAACGATTGTCAATAAAGCGTGTTTGTCGTGTTCATGTCAAATTAAACTGATCACAAAACACAGATTTACTTTCTTTATTTCGTTTTCCTCATCCAAGCCCCATAAATCCCTGTGTGTCCTCCTGCAGCACTCCCGAAGAACAACAGGCAAAACAAGACAAAAAAGTCTGACGTGTTGAGTAAAAACTGCTATTTTTAGCATATTTTTAGGGCCGACGTGTTGCTACCAGACGTACGGTGTGAGCAGTCAGGTCGCATCCGAGAACTGGGTCGTACAGTGTGAGCGCATGACTCGTGAGATCTGCCCTGTGACGAAGTCGTACAGTTTGAGCGTAAGCTGAGTGCTACGGGTGAAAAAGTCGCACAGTGTCCGCCCAGCTTAACTCATCCAGTTTTTAATGATGAGGTCAAAAGGATTCATCAGCACCTCGGCCCCCCTCTCCTACCTCCCTCCTCTTTCTTTCCATGCCCACATCAATAACATACCTCGGTCAGCCTATTTCTATCTTCAATCCATAAATCGTCTTCGCTCCTCCATGACCCCTCATGCTGCAGCCATTCTCGTCCACAGCCTTGTCACTTCCTGTCTTGACTACTGCTGTTCACTCCTTTTTGGTCTCCCCAGTAAACTTCATAAACTACAAGCGGTCCAGAATTCAGCAGCCTGTGTTATCACCAAAACCCCTTCCTTTCTCCACATCACCCCTGTTCTTCAGCAGCTCCACTGGCTTCCATTAAAAATTAGGTCCACTTTCAAGATCCTCCTCCACACCTTCAAAGCATTACGTAATGTTTCTCCTTCCTACTTAACAGA